ATGGGAAAAATTAGGGGAAAATGGGGAGAAAATCGGGGAAAACGGGAAAAATCCCCGGCACAAATCCAACATCTGAACCCCAAAGGCCACGGAAATCTCGGAGGCCGCCGGGGTCCCGGGTGGGGCTGTGAGCCCCCTGCTGCCATTTGCAGGCGCGGAATTCCCGGATTTTTGGGATTTCTGGGAATGGCGGGAGCCGCCGTACCCGAGGGGGCTCTGGCGGCGGCGTCGCTCCGCTCCAGGCTGGAAATGGCGGCAACGGGAGCGGGTTTCTCCAGGGAAGGGAGGAGCTGATCCAGCTGCTCCAGCTCGGCCGAGAACTGCGGGGAAGAAGGAGAAGATGTGGGATTAGCCGGGGAAAAAAATTGGGAGAAGGTAGGAGAACGTCTGGGATCGGGTGGGAACGTCTTGGGATGTCCGCTCAATCCCGAGTCCCGGATCCCAAGGAATGCTTGGAGCACCTGAAGAACTTGGGATTGGAGCGGGATGGGATCAAATCCCAACCAAACCACTCTGGAACTTTGGGATTCCATGGGAATGGGAAGGAAAATCCAGGAGAATTCCCCAGAAAATCTTCAGGAACTCCCAAGGAAATCTTGGAGCACCTCAAGATCTTGGGCTTGGAGCGGGATGGGATCGAATCTCCACAAATCCCACCCAAACCTTTCCAGAACTTTGGGATTCCATGGGAATGGGAAGCAAAATCCAGGAGAATTCCCAGAAAATCTTTGGGAACATCCAAGGAATCTTGGAGAACCTCAAGATCTTGGGATTGGAGCGGGATGGGACCAAACCTCCACAAATCCCACCCAAACCACTCTGGAACTTTGGGATTCCATGGGAATGGGAAGCAAAAGCCAGCAGAATTCCCAGAAAGTCTTCAGGAATGCCCAAACAAAACTTGGAGAACCTCAAGATCTTGGGATTGGAACGGGATGGGATCGAACCTCCCCAAATCCCACCCAAACCCTTCTGGATCTCCGGGATTCCACGGGATGCAAAATCCTGGAGAATTCCCAGAAAATCCTTGGGAATAGCCAAGGAAATCTTGGAATTACGGGATTGGAGCGGGATGGGATCAAAGATTACGAACTCCACCCAAAACCATTCCGGATCTCCAGGATTCCATGGGAATGGGAAGCAAAATCCAAAAGAATTCCCAAAAAGTCTTCAGGAATGCCCAAGGAAATCTTGGAGAACGTCAAGATCTTGGGATTGGAGGGGGATGGGATTGAATGTCCACAAATCCCACCCAAACCATTCCGGATCTCCAGGATACCATAGGAAGCAAAATCCCAGAGAATTCCTATAGAATCTTTGGGAATGCCCAAGGAAATCTTGGAATTATGGGATTGGAGAGGGATGGGATCAAATCTCCACAAATCCCACCCAAACCACTCTGGAACTTTGGGATTCCACGGGAATGGGACGCAAAATTCAGTATTCACAGAAAATCCTTGGGAATAGCCAAGGAAATCTTGGAGCACCTCAAGAACTTGGGCTTGGAGCGGGATGGGATCGAATCTCCACAAATCCCACCCAACCCTTTCCAGAACTTTGGGATTCCATGGGAATGGGAAGCAAAATCCAGGAGAATTCCCAGAAAATCTTTGGGAACTCCCAAGGAAATCTTGGAGCACCTCAAGATCTTGGGCTTGGAGCGGGATGGGATCGAACCTCCCCAAATCCCACCCAAACCCTTCTGGACCTCCAGGATTCCACAGGAAGCCAAATCCCAGAGAATTCCCTGAAAACCTTTGGAAATGCCCAAGGAAATCTTGGAGCACCTGAAATTTGGGATTGGAGCAGGATGGGATCGAACCTCCACAAATCCCACCCAAACCACTCTGGAACTTTGGGATTCCATGGGAATGGGAAGCAAAATCCAAGAGAATTCCCAAAACATCTTTGGGAATGCCCAAGGAAATCTTGGAATCTTGGGATTGGAATGGGACAGGATCAAAGCTCCACAAATCCCCCCCAAACTATTAAAAAAAAAAAAATTCCAAAGAAAATCCAGCTTTTCTTGGGATGTCCACTCAATCCCGAGTCCCGGATCCCAAGGAAATCTTGGAGCACCTCAAGGTCTTGGGACTGGAGCGGGATGGGATCAAACCTCCACAAATCCCACCCAAACCTTTCCAGAACTTTGGGATTCCACGGGAATGGGACGCAAAATTCAGAATTCACAGAAAATCCTTGGGAATAGCCAAGGAAATCTTGGAATTATGGGATTGGAGTGGGATGGGATCAAAGATTACAAACTCCACCCAAACCATTCCAGAACTTTGGGATTCCATGGGAATGGGAAGCAAAATCCAGCAGAATTCCCAGAAAGTCTTCAGGAATGCCCAAACAAATCTTGGAGAACCTCAAGATCTTGGGATTGCAACAGGACAGGATCGAACCTCCCCAAATCCCACCCAAACCATTCCGGATCTCTGGGATTCCACGAGAAGCAAAATCCTGGAGAATTCCCAGAGAATCTTTGGGAATAGCCAAGGAAATCTTGGAGCACCTGAAATTTGGGATTGGAGCAGGATGGGATCGAATGTCCATAAATCCCACCCAAACCACGCTGGAACTTTGGGATTCCATGGGAATGGGACGCAAAATCCAAGAGAATTCCCAAATCGTCTTTGGGAATGCCCAAGGAAATCTTGGAGCACCTCAAGATCTTGGGCTTGGAGCGGCATGGGATCGAACCTCCCCAAATCCCGCCCAAACCATTCCGGATCTCCGGGATTCCACGGGATGCAAAATCCTGGAGAATTCCCAGAAAATCCTTGGGAATAGCCAAGGAAATCTTGGAATTACAGGATTGGAGCGGGATGGGATCAAAGATTACGAACTCCACCCAAAACCATTCCGGATCTCCAGGATTCCATGGGAATGGGAAGCAAAAGCCAGCAGAATTCCCAGAAAGTCTTCAGGAATGCCCAAACAAAACTTGGAGAACCTCAAGATCTTGGGATTGGAGCGGGACGGGATCGAATCTCCACAAATCCCACCCAAACCACTCTGGAACTTTGGGATTCCATGGGAATGGGAAGCAAAATCCAAGAGAATTCCCAAAACGTCTTTGGGAATGCCCAAGGAAATCTTGGAATCTTGGGATTGGAATGGGACAGGATCAAAGCTCCACAAATCCCACCCAAACTATTAAAAAAAAAAAAATTCCAAAGAAAATCCAGCTTTTCTTGGGATGTCCACTCAATCCCGAGTCCCGGATCCCAAGGAAATCTTGGAGCACCTCAAGGTCTTGGGACTGGAGCGGGATGGGATCAAACCTCCACAAATCCCACCCAAACCTTTCCAGAACTTTGGGATTCCACGGGAATGGGACGCAAAATTCAGAATTCACAGAAAATCCTTGGGAATAGCCAAGGAAATCTTGGAATTATGGGATTGGAGTGGGATGGGATCAAAGATTACAAACTCCACCCGAACCATTCCAGAACTTTGGGATTCCATGGGAATGGGAAGCAAAATCCAGGAGAATTCCCAGAAAATCTTTGGGAACATCCAAGGAAATCTTGGAGCACCTCAAGATCTTGGGATTGGAGCGGGACGGGATCGAATCTCCACAAATCCCACCCAAACCTTTCCAGAACTTTGGGATTCCATGGGAATGAGAAGCAAAATCCTGGAGAATTCCCAGAAAATCTTCAGGAACTCCCAAGGAAATCTTGGAGAACCTCAAGGTCTTGGGATTGGAGCAGGATGGGATCGAACCTCCACAAATCCCACCCAAACTATTAAAAAAAAAAAAATTCCAAAGAAAATCCAGCTTTTCTTGGGATGTCCACTCAATCCCGAGTCCCGGATCCCAAGGAAATCTTGGAGCACCTCAAGGTCTTGGGATTGGAGCAGGATGGGATCGAACCTCCCCAAATCCCACCCAAAGCCTTCTGGACCTCCAGCATTCCACAGGAAGCCAAATCCCAGAGAATTCCTATAGAATCTTTGGGAATGCCCAAGGAAATCTTGGAGCACCTCAAGGTCTTGGGATTGGAGCAGGATGGGATCGAACCTCCCCAAATCCCACCCAAAGCCTTCTGGACCTCCAGCATTCCACAGGAAGCCAAATCCCAGAGAATTCCTATAGAATCTTTGGGAATGCCCAAGGAAATCTTGGAGCACCTCAAGGTCTTGGGATTGGAGCAGGATGGGATCGAACCTCCCCAAATCCCACCCAAAGCCTTCTGGACCTCCAGCATTCCACAGGAAGCCAAATCCCAGAGAATTCCTATAGAATCTTTGGGAATGCCCAAGGAAATCTTGGAGCACCTCAAGGTCTTGGGATTGGAGCAGGATGGGATCGAACCTCCCCAAATCCCACCCAAAGCCTTCTGGACCTCCAGCATTCCACAGGAAGCCAAATCCCAGAGAATTCCCACAAAACCCGGCTTCTCCCCCACCCACCTGTCCCGGCGCCTCCATCTTGACCTCGTCGGCGGCGGGAATTTTGGGAACGGCGGCCGGCGCGGCAGGGCACGGCTCGGCGGCCTCGCCCTTCTCCACCTTGACCTTGACGTCGTCCAGGCTGAGCGCCGGCGCCGCCGGCTCCTTCTCGTCCTTATCCAGCAGGTACCGGAGCAGCTGGTGATCCTTGGACTCCTTCTTCTTCTCCGCCTCCGCCATGCCGGAATTCCCGCCGGAACTGCCGCCGCCGGAATTCTCCTTCTTGTCCTGCTCGGCGGCCAGGGCGGGGATGTCGGAGGGGCTGCCCTCCTGCAGCAGCCGGTGCAGGATTTTGTGGCGCTCCGTCAGCGAGCTGTGCGAGGACGGGCACGCCGGCGCCGGGCCGGGATTCCCGGGAATGCCGGCGCACGCCAGGGAATCCTTGGAGCTGGTGTCGGCGTCGGCGTGGTGCCGCAGCTGCTGCTCGGCCGTGCTGGCCAGCAGCTGCACCAGCCGGTGGCTCGTGCCTTGGGGACACTTCCCGCCGTCCCCTCCCTCGGATCCGTGCGGCATTCCCGGCTCCGGGGTTTTCTCGGAGCCACCGCCGCCGTCCCCTTGGATCATCTCGCCGAGGATGGAGGAGATTTCCTTGGCGTCCTTGGCGTCGGATTTGCCGCCCACGCGGCCGGGGGAGTTCTGGGAGCTTGGCTGCCTCAAAAATCCCGGGTTTGCCGGAGGCTCCGGAAGCGCCGAGTTGACGGGAGCGTTGGGAAAAGGCCGGGAATTCCCGGAGGAGGAGGAAGAGGAAGAGGAGGAGGAAGATGAGGAGGAAGCCGGGGAGTGCATGGATGGCGAGAAGGGATTGCCGGGAGGAGCTCGGGATCTGGGAATCAAGCCCGGGCTCCCGCGGTGCCGCGGCGACAGGAATTGCGGCGCCGGAATTCCGGGGCTGTTCATGGGGGAGCTGCCGTGGGACAAAGGGTGGGAATTGCCGGGAGTTTGGCTTAAGGCAACGTTGGATCCCAGAGGATTCCCGAAATTGGCTTGGCCCGAGGCGGAATTCCCGGGGTGAGCGGAGGGCGCGGCCATGACGGCGCCGTTGGATGGAGGGAGGGAAGGCGGCAGCGCCATTCCCGGCGCCGGAGGAACGTTGGGATTCACCCTGGGAATGGCCAGGCCCGGGCCGGGGGCGTCCTGGGGGGAGAGAATTCCATGATCCCTGTGGGGAAAAAAAAACAAACGTGGGAAAATCTGGTTTTTCCCGGTTTTTGGTGTTCCTCCAAGCAGTTTCGGCAGCAGGAATCCCAAAAAATTTCCCTGCGTGGAATTCCGGCTGCTCCAAGGTTTTCTCAGGGTTGGGAATTATCAAATCCTGCTCCAATGGCAGAAAGGATCCCAAAATTTCCCTGCTTGGAATTCCGGCTGCTCCAAGCCTTTCTCCAGCTCTGGAATTCCCAGATCAGCATTCCCACCATCCCAGCCCCATCATGATGGGAAAAGTTTTCCCAAATTTTTTGGGCCATTCCAGGATTCTCTGGACCCATTCCAGCAGCTCCAGAGGAACATTTTTCCTGGGAATTCTGACAGAAATCTTTGGGAGGGGAAGATCCTGATCCTGCTCCCGATCCCGATCCCAATCCCAATCCCAATCCTAGTCCTGATTACAATCCTAATTCCGATCCCAATTCCAGTCCAGATTCCAATCCTAATTCTAATTCCAATCCCAATCCCAATTCTAATTCCAACCTCGATCCCAGTTCCAATTCTAATTCCAATCTCGATCCCAGTTCCAATTCTAATTCCAATCACGATCCAAATCCCAGTCCCTATCCTAAACCTAATCCTAATTCCAATCCAAATCCCAATCCAAATCTCAATCCCAATGCCAACCCTAATCCCAATTCCAGACCCAATCCCCAACCCAATCCTGATCCAAATTCCAATTCCAATCCTGATCCCAAACCCTATTATAATTCCAATCCTGATCCCAATTCTAATCCTGATCCCAATCATAATCCCAATCCCAATCCGATCCCTAAAACTAATCCCAATTCCTATCCCAATCCCAATCCCAATCCTAATCCAATCCCAACCCCAACGAGCCCTGAGGACCCAGGGAATGCCTGGATGAGCTCGAGGCCAGATTTCCAGGAAAAATTCCTCCCCCAGAGCATGAAAACCTCCAGAAAATTTTCCTAAGGAAACACCAAAATTCCCAAAACCGCCAGAATTCCAGGAAAAACTCAAAAGAGGGGAAAAAAAGAAGGAAAAAAACCCCACAAAGCCGGAAAAACCCAGGGCGGGATCAGCGCCTGGCGCTTCATCCCTGCCCCTCTCCGGGTGATTCCCGGTGCCGGAATTCCATGGAATTCCGTGGGATTTGATGGAATTCCATGGAATTCCGAGGGATTGCTGGGAATTCCGTACCTGTCGATGACATGGATGCCCATGATGAAGGGCTGCAGCTCCGGGCTTGAGGGGTAGCAGAGCTTGCACTTGGTGTGGGCGCTCAGCACGGAGCCGTCGCTCAGCGTGAAGCGGTACGAGGGGCTGAAGGCCGTGCCCCGAGTCATCACTGGGGAGAAACACACAGAATTCCAGGGGAAAATATGGAAAAATCATGGAAAACCCCGAGAAAATCCCAAGAAAATCCTAAAAATATCGATAGGATAAAGGGACATCCAGCACGGAGCCGTCGCTCAGCGTGAACGGGACAAGGGGCTGAGGGTGGAGCTGGGACCATCACTGAGGGGAAAATCACAGAATTCCAGGGAAAAACATGGAAAAATCTCGAAAAAATCCTGAAAAAATCCCAATCCGATCCCAAAAACCCAAATTCAATGGAAATCTGAGCCCAAAAACCCCAAACGGGCCCAGGGAGGATCAGCACGGAGCTGTCGCTCAGCGTGAGGGCGATGAGGGCCTGAAGGCCGTGCCGGGGTCATCTCTGAGGGGAAAAAACTCAGAATTCCAGGAAAATCCTGGGAAAATCCCAAGAAAATCCTGAAAAGCTCCCAATCCAGTCAAACAACACCCAATTCAATGGGAATCTGATCCCAAAAACCTCAATAGGGCACAGAGGATGAGCACGGAGCCGTCACTCAGCGTGAGGGCCTGAAGGCCGTGGCGGGGTCATCTCTGAGGGGAAAAAACTCAGAATTCCAGGAAAATATGGAAAATATCCCAAGAAAATCCTGAAAAGCTCCCAATCCAGTCAAACAACACCCAATTCAACGGAAATCTGATCCCCAAAACCCCAAAAGGGCACAGAGAGGATCAGCATGGAGCCGTTGGTCAGAGTGAAGCCAGCAAGGGGCTGAAAGCCGTGCCGGGGTCATCACTGAGGGGAAAAAACTCAGAATTCCAGGAAAATCCTTGGAAAATCCCAAGAAAATCCTTAAGAAGTCTCAAGAAAATCCTGACAAAATCCCAATCCGATCCCAAAAACCCAAATTCAATGGAAATCTGAGCCCAAAAACCCCAAACGGGCCCAGGGAGGATCAGCACGGAGCTGTCGCTCAGCGTGAGGGCGATGAGGGCCTGAAGGCCGTGCCGGGGTCATCTCTGAGGGGAAAAAACTCAGAATTCCAGGAAAATCCTAGGAAAATCCTGAAAAACTCCCAGTCCAATCAAACAACACCCAATTCAATGAGAATCTGATCCCAAAAACCCCAAAAGGGCACAGAGAGGATGAGCACGGAGCCATCGCTCAGAGCGAGGCCAGCAAGGGGCTGAAGGCCATGCTGGGGTCATCACTGAGGGGAAAAAACTCAGAATTCCAGGAAAATCCCAAGAAAATCCCAAGAAAATCCTGAAAAGCTCCCAATCCAGTCAAACAACACCCAATTCAATGGGAATCTGATCCCAAAAACCTCAATAGGGCACAGAGGATGAGCACGGAGCCGTCACTCAGCGTGAGGGCCTGAAGGCCGTGGCGGGGTCATCTCTGAGGGGAAAAAACTCAGAATTCCAGGAAAATCCCAAGAAAATCCCAAGAAAATCCTGAAAAATCCCATTCCAATGAAAATCTGATCCCAAAAACCCCAAAAGGGCACAGAGAGGATGAGCACGGAGCCATCACTCAGAGCGAGGCCAGCAAGGGGCTGAAGGCCATGCTGGGGTCATCTCTGAGGGGAAAAAACTCAGAATTCCAGGAAAATCCTAGGAAAATCCTGAAAAACTCCCAGTCCAATCAAACAACACCCAATTCAATGAGAATCTGATCCCAAAAACCCCAAAAGGGCACAGAGGATGAGCACGGAGCCATCACTCAGTGTGAAAGGAACAAGGAGCTGAGGGTGGTCATCACTGAGGGGAAACACACAGAATTCCAAGGAAAAACATGGAAAAACCCCATCAAAATCCCTCAACGATCCCAAAACCCCACCACCACCCACAAAATAAACATCTTACCATCACCACCTCCCGAAAAAAAACCCCAAACCCACCCAAAAAAAACACAAACCCCACACACCGACCCCGCCAAAACAACGGCGCCATTTTCTCCTCCTCTTCCCAACCCACGGCGGGAACAAAAAAACCCGGAATGCGGGGATTTTTCGGGATTTTTCCCAAGGAGAAGATTCCTGGGGGGAAAAGGCAGCAGGTACCTTCCTGAAAGAGCTGCTTGGCGTAGGAGGGCTCGCGGCCCTGGGGCTGGAAGAAGGCGTAGATGCATTTCCGCACCAGATCCTCCCAGCCCGTCCGGCCGGCGGCGCGCAGCGAGCTGGTGTCGATGGAGATGATTTTTCCTGGGAAAAGGAGCGGGAGGAAAGGGGATTTGGGGGGATTTGGGGGATTTGGGGGAGTTGGGAGCGAGGGATGGGTGGAGGAGGTTGGGGGGGTGGGGTGGGAATGGGATGGGGTTGAGGGTCTGTGGAGCTCATCCCAAACTATTCCGGGATTCTGGGATCCGGGATGGATCAATAATCCATCCCCAGGGATTTTTATGGAATTCAGGGATGGGAAAGGGAAGGGAGATCCCTGAGATTCCAAAGGAATTCCTGAAATTCCTTCCTGGAGGGGAGTCAGGATGGGGATGGATCCAATGGCAGGCTGGGAGAGCTGGGAATGGAGGGAAGTCCCTGGGAAAAGGGGAGGAATTTGGGAAGGAATTCCCGGCTGGGCTGGAATTCCCAGAGAATCCCTGGGAGTGTCCAAGGAGGGGTAGCAGAGCTTGCACTTGGTGTGGGCGCTCAGCACGGAGCCGTCGCTCAGCGTGAAGCGGTACGAGGGGCTGAAGGCCGTGCCCCGAGTCATCACTGGGGAGAAACACACAGAATTCCAGGGGAAAATATGGAAAAATCATGGAAAACCCCGAGAAAATCCCAAGAAAATCCTAAAAATATCGATAGGATAAAGGGACACCCAGCACAGAGCCGTCGCTCAGCGTGAACGGGACAAGGGGCTGAGGGGGGAGCTGGGACCATCACTGAGGGGAAAATCACAGAATTCCAGGGAAAAACATGGAAAAATCTCGAAAAAATCCTGAAAAAATCCCAATCCGATCCCAAAAACCCAAATTCAATGGAAATCTGAGCCCAAAAACCCCAAACGGGCCCAGGGAGGATCAGCACGGAGCTGTCGCTCAGCGTGAGGGCGATGAGGGCCTGAAGGCCGTGCCGGGGTCATCTCTGAGGGGAAAAAACTCAGAATTCCAGGAAAATCCTGGGAAAATCCCAAGGAAATCCTGAAAAATCCCAATCCAATGAAAATCTGATCCCAAAAACCCCAAAAGGGCACAGAGAGGATGAGCACGGAGCCATCGCTCAGAGCGAGGCCAGCAAGGGGCTGAAGGCCATGCTGGGGTCATCACTGAGGGGAAAAAACTCAGAATTCCAGGAAAATCCTGGGAAAATCCCAAGAAAATCCTGAAAAGCTCCCAATCCAGTCAAACAACACCCAATTTAATGGGAATCTGATCCCAAAAACCCCAACAGGGTCCAGAGAGGGTCAGCATGGAGCCGTCACTCAGCGTGAGGGCCTGAAGGCCGTGGCGGGGTCATCTCTGAGGGGAAAAAACTCAGAATTCCAGGAAAATATGGAAAATCCCAAGAAAATCCTGAAAAACTCCCAATCCAATCAAACAACACCCAATCCAATGGAAATTTGATCCCAGAAACCCCAAAAGGACCCAGGGAGGATCAGCACAGAGCCATCGCTCAGAGTGAAGCCAGCAAGGGGCTGAAGGCCATGCTGGGGTCATCTCTGAGGGGAAAAAACTCAGAATTCCAGGAAAATCCTGGGAAAATCCCAAGGAAATCCTGAAAAATCCCAATCCAATGAAAATCTGATCCCAAAAACCCCAAAAGGGCACAGAGAGGATGAGCACGGAGCCATCGCTCAGAGCGAGGCCAGCAAGGGGCTGAAGGCCATGCTGGGGTCATCTCTGAGGGGAAAAAACTCAGAATTCCAGGAAAATCCTTGGAAAATCCCAAGAAAATCCTTAAGAAGTCTCAAGAAAATCCTGACAAAATCCCAATCCGATCCCAAAAACCCAAATTCAATAAAAATCTGAACCCAAAAACCCCAAAAGGACCCAGTGAGGATCAGCACGGAGCTGTCGCTCGGCGTGAGGGCGATGAGGGCCTGAAGGCCGTGCCGGGGTCATCACTGAGGGGAAAAAACCTCAGAATTCCAAAAGAATCCTGGGAAAATCCCAAGAAAATCCTGAAAAGCTCCCAATCCAGTCAAACAACACCCAATTTAATGGGAATCTGATCCCAAAAACCCCAACAGGGTCCAGAGAGGGTCAGCATGGAGCCGTCATTCAGCATGAGGGCCTGAAGGCCGTGCCAGGGTCATCTCTGAGGGGAAAAAACTCAGAATTCCAGGAAAATCCTGGGAAAATCCCAAGAAAATCCTGAAAAACTCCCAATCCAGTCAAACAACACCCAATTCAACGGAAATCTGATCCCCAAAACCCCAAAAGGGCACAGAGAGGATCAGCATGGAGCCGTTGGTCAGAGTGAAGCCAGCAAGGGGCTGAAAGCCGTGCCGGGGTCATCACTGAGGGGAAAAAACTCAGAATTCCAGGAAAATCCTAGGAAAATCCTGAAAAACTCCCAGTCCAATCAAACAACACCCAATTCAATGAGAATCTGATCCCAAAAACCCCAAAAGGGCACAGAGGATGAGCACGGAGCCATCACTCAGTGTGAAAGGAACAAGGAGCTGAGGGTGGTCATCACTGAGGGGAAACACACAGAATTCCAAGGAAAAACATGGAAAAACCCCATCAAAATCCCTCAACGATCCCAAAACCCCACCACCACCCACAAAATAAACATCTTACCATCACCACCTCCCGAAAAAAAACCCCAAACCCACCCAAAAAAAACCACAAACCCCACACACCGACCCCGCCAAAACAACGCCGCCATTTTCTCCTCCTCTTCCCAACCCGCGGCGGGAACGGAAAAAACCCGGAATGCGGGGATTTTTTGGGATTTTTCCCAAGGAGAAGATTCCTGGGGGGAAAAGGCAGCGGGTACCTTCCTGAAAGAGCTGCTTGGCGTAGGAGGGCTCGCGGCCCTGGGGCTGGAAGAAGGCGTAGATGCATTTCCGCACCAGATCCTCCCAGCCCGTCCGGCCGGCGGCGCGCAGCGAGCTGGTGTCGATGGAGATGATTTTTCCTGGGAAAAGGAGCGGGAGGAAAGGGGATTTGGGGGGATTTGGGGGATTTGGGGGAGTTGGGAGCGAGGGATGGGTGGAGGAGGTTGGGGGGGTGGGGTGGGAATGGGATGGGGTTGAGGGTCTGTGGAGCTCGTCCCAAACCATTCCGGGATTCCCCACCTTCCCCCTCCTCCTGGAAGGCGCGGGGCTGGCTGACGGTGAAGCACTGCATGGCCTCCGAGCCCCCAATCCAAATCCCAATCCCAAATGCCAAACCCCAGATTCCCGGGAATGTTCCCCACCTTCCCCCTCCTCCTGGAAGGCGCGGGGCTGGCTGACGGTGAAGCACTGCATGGCCTCCGAGCCCCCAATCCCAAACCCAACCCCATCCCAACCCAAATCCCAATCCCAATCCCAATCCCAAATCCCAGATCCCAGATTCCCGGGAATGTTCCCCACCTTCCCCCTCCTCCTGGAAGGCGCGGGGCTGGCTGACGGTGAAGCACTGCATGGCCTCGTAGCGCTGCCGCAGCTCCGCCTGCTCCGCGCCCGCCTCGTCCGGCGGCCGCACCAGCATCCGGCACTGGAAGGTGTGGCTGCCGCGCCGCGCCGGCTCCTGCGGCCACGGCACCCCGTTCACTGGGAAAAACAGGGAAAAACGGGAATTGGGGACGTGGGAGTGATCCCTAATCATGGAATTCCCAAAGATCCCCGGGATCCGTGGCCCCTGCAGCAGCATCCGGCACTGGAAGGCGTGGCTGCCGCGCCGCGCCGGCTCCTGCGGCCACGGCACCCCGTTCACTGGGAAAAACAGGGAAAAACGGGAATTGGGGACGTGCGAGTGATCCCTAATCATGGAATTGTGGAATTCCCAAAGATCTCTGGGATTCGAGGAACTGTGATGGGAACAATCCACATGGAATTGCCGAAGATAATAAGCACGCAATAAAAATAAAAATGAGAGTAGTGAATAATAATATAAATAAATAAACACAAAAATAATGAAATATCAATAAAAATAAAAGAAATATAAACTAAACAAAAAATAAAAGTAAATAAAATACACATAGAGATAAAAATAAAGATATAAATAAACATTAAATAAAATTTCAATAAATTTTTAAAATTAACGACCCCCCCACCCCCAATCCCTGCCTCCATTCCCAAATTTCCCCGGATTTTCCCAAATTTCCCCGAATTTCCCGCCATTCTCCCGGATTTCGCGGGGTGTGCCGTACCCAGGGATTTGGGGAGCAGGTTCTTGACGAACTCGGCGTGGTCGCCCACGTGCAGGATGCTGTACACGCTGGAGTTCATCAGCTCCTCCTGCCCGTAGCCCAGGTAGCCCGTCACGTTCTCCGACACGAACACGATGCGGCCCTCGCGGTTCACCACGAAGAAGAACCCATCTAGAGCCTGGAAACGGGAAAAATTCCAAGGTTTTATCCCAAATATCCCAAAAACAGGAAAAATTCCAAGGTTTTATCCCAAATATCCCATCACGTTCTCCGACACGAACACGATGCGGCCCTCGCGGTTCACCACGAAGAAGAACCCGTCCAGAGCCTGGAAACAGGAAAAATTCCAAGGTTTTATCCCAAATATCCCAAAAACGGGAGAAATTCCAAGGTTTTATCGCAAATATCCCGTCACGTTCTCCGAAACAAACACGATGCGCCCCTCGCGGTTCACCACGAAGAAGAACCCGTCCAGAGCCTGGGAACGGGAAAAATTCCAAGGTTTTATCCCAAATATCCCAAAAACGGGAGAAATTCCAAGGTTTTATCCTAAATATCCTGAAAACGGGAAAAAATTCCAAGGTTTTATCCTAAATATCACAAAAACAGGCAAGAATTCCAATATTTTATTGCAAATATCCCATCACGTTCTCCAACACAAACACGATGCGCCCCTTGCGGTTCACCACAAAGAAGAACCCGAAAAATGGGAAAGAATTCCAAGGTTTTATCTCAAATATCTCGAAAATGGGGAAAAATTTCAAGATTTTATCTCAACTATCCCAAAAATGGGAAAGAATTCCAAGGTTTTATCCCAAATATCCCAAAAACGGGCAAGAATTCCAAGGTTTTATCCTAAATATCACAAAAACAGGGGAAAAATGCAAGGTTTTATCCCACATATCCTGTCACGTTCTCCGACACGAACACGAGGCGGCCCTCGCGGTTCACCACAAAGAAGAACCCGTCCAGCACCAGGGAACAGGAAAAATTCCAAGGTTTTATCCCAAATATCCCAAAAACGGGAAAAAATTCCAAGGTTTTATCCCAAATATCCAATCATGTTCTCCAACACGAACGCGATCCAATCCTCCTGGCTGAACATGAAGAAAAATCCATCCAGGGCTTGGAACACAAAAGAATTCCAAGGTTTTATCCTGAATATCCCAGAAATGGGAAAGAATTCCAAGGTTTTATCTCAAATATCACAAAATGGGAAAGAATTCCAAGGATCTATCTCAAATATCCCAAAAACGGGCAAGAATTCCAAGGTTTTATCCCAAATATCACGAAAATGGGAAAGAACTCCAAGGTTTTATCCCAAATATCATGAAAATGGGAAAGAATTCCAAGGTTCTATCTCAAATATCCCAAAAAATGGGAAAGAATTCCAAGGTTTTATCTCAAATATCTCGAAAATGGGGAAAAATTTCAAGATTTTATCTCAACTATCCCAAAAATGGGAAAGAATTCCAAGGTTTTATCCCAAATATCCCAAAAACGGGCAAGAATTCCAAGGTTTTATCCTAAATATCACAAAAACAGGGGAAAAATGCAAGGTTTTATCCCACATATCCTGTCACGTTCTCCGACACGAACACGAGGCGGCCCTCGCGGTTCACCACAAAGAAGAACCCGTCCAGCACCAGGGAACAGGAAAAATTCCAAGGTTTTATCCCAAATATCCCAAAAACGGGAAAAAATTCCAAGGTTTTATCCCAAATATCCAATCATGTTCTCCAACACGAACGCGATCCAATCCTCCTGGCTGAACATGAAGAAAAATCCATCCAGGGCTTGGAACACAAAAGAATTCCAAGGTTTTATCCTGAATATCCCAAAAATGGGAAAGAATTCCAAGGTTTTATCTCAAATATCTCGAAAATGGGGAAAAATTTCAAGATTTTATCTCAACTATCCCAAAAATGGGAAAGAATTCCAAGGTTTTATCCCAAATATCCCGTCACACTCTCCGACACGAACGCGATCCAACCCTCCCGGTTGAGCGTGAAGGAGAACCCTTCCAGAGCCTGGAGCAGGAATGGAATTCCAGAGAGGGATCACGGAATGAGAGGAGAATGAAATTCCAGAGGGTGTTCCTGGAGCAGGGAGGAGATTCCATGGAAAACTGGGTGGGGTCTTGAGTGTCCAGAAGGTTCCCTCAAAGCCTGGCTGGATTCCCGCTCTGGCAATTCCAGGATTCCAGTCAGGATCCAAGATCCACCTTGGTCATTCCAATGGATTCCCACGGATTTGGCTCCTTGAGTTGGAGAAGGTTCCCTCAAAGCCTGGCTAGATTCCCACTCCAGGAATTCCAGGATTCCAGCCAGGATCCAAGATCCACCTCGGTTATTCCAGGATTGGGAATCAGATCCCAGGATTCCAGCCAGGATCCAACTTCCACCTCGGTCATTCCAATCGATTCCCATGGATTTTGATCCATGAGTGTCTAGAAGGTTCCCTCAAACCTTGGCTGGATTCCCACTCTGGGAATTCCAGGATTCCACATGGGATCCAAGATCCACCTCAGTTATTCCTGGATTTGGTTCCTCACATCCCAAGATTCCAGCTGGCATCCAAGATCCACCGTGGTCATTCCAAAGAATTCCCATGGATTTGGCTCCTTGAGTGTGGAGAAGGTTCCTTCAAAACTTGGTTGGATTCCCACTCTGGGAATTCCAAGATTCCAGCCACGATCCAAGATCCACCTCAGTTATTCCTGGATTTGGCTCCTCACATCCCAAGATTCCAGCCGGGATCTAAAGTCCACCTTGGTTATTCCTGGAATTCCGCGATTCCAGCCGGGATCTAAAGTCCACCTTGGTTATTCCTGGAATTCCGCGATTCCAGCCGGGATCTAAAGTCCACCTTGGTTATTCCTGGAATTCCGCGATTCCAGCCGGGATCTAAAGTCCACCTTGGTTATTCCTGGAATTCCGCGATTCCAGCCGGGATCTAAAGTCCACCTTGGTTATTCCTGGAATTCCGCGATTCCAGCCGGGATCTAAAGTCCACCTTGGTTATTCCTGGAATTCCGCGATTCCAGCCGGGATCTAAAGTCCACCTTGGTTATTCCTGGAATTCCGCGATTCCAGCCGGGATCTAAAGTCCACCTTGGTTATTCCTGGAATTCCGCGATTCCAGCCGGGATCTAAAGTCCACCTTGGTTATTCCTGGAATTCCGCGATTCCAGCCGGGATCTAAAGTCCACCTTGGTTATTCCTGGAATTCCGCGATTCCAGCCGGGATCTAAAGTCCACCTTGGTTATTCCTGGAATTCCGCGATTCCAGCCGGGATCTAAAGTCCACCTTGGTTATTCCTGGAATTCCGCGATTCCAGCCGGGATCTAAAGTCCACCTTGGTTATTCCTGGAATTCCGCGATTCCAGCCGGGATCTAAAGTCCACCTTGGTTATTCCTGGAATTCCGCGATTCCAGCCGGGATCTAAAGTCCACCTTGGTTATTCCTGGAATTCCGCGATTCCAGCCGGGATCTAAAGTCCACCTTGGTTATTCCTGGAATTCCGCGATTCCAGCCGGGATCTAAAGTCCACCTTGGTTATTCCTGGAATTCCGCGATTCCAGCCGGGATCTAAAGTCCACCTTGGTTATTCCTGGAATTCCGCGATTCCAGCCGGGATCTAAAGTCCACCTTGGTTATTCCTGGAATTCCGCGATTCCAGCCGGGATCTAAAGTCCACCTTGGTTATTCCTGGAATTCCGCGATTCCAGCCGGGATCTAAAGTCCACCTTGGTTATTCCTGGAATTCCGCGATTCCAGCCGGGATCTAAAGTCCACCTTGGTTATTCCTGGAATTCCGCGATTCCAGCCGGGATCTAAAGTCCACCTTGGTTATTCCTGGAATTCCGCGATTCCAGCCGGGATCTAAAGTCCACCTTGGTTATTCCTGGAATTCCGCGATTCCAGCCGGGATCTAAAGTCCACCTTGGTTATTCCTGGAATTCCGCGATTCCAGCCGGGATCTAAAGTCCACCTTGGTTATTCCTGGAATTCCGCGATTCCAGCCGGGATCTAAAGTCCACCTTGGTTATTCCTGGAATTCCGCGATTCCAGCCGGGATCTAAAGTCCACCTTGGTTATTCCTGGAATTCCGCGATTCCAGCCGGGATCTAAAGTCCACCTTGGTTATTCCTGGAATTCCGCGATTCCAGCCGGGATCTAAAGTCCACCTTGGTTATTCCTGGAATTCCGCGATTCCAGCCGGGATCTAAAGTCCACCTTGGTTATTCCTGGAATTCCGCGATTCCAGCCGGGATCTAAAGTCCACCTTGGTTATTCCTGGAATTCCGCGATTCCAGCCGGGATCTAAAGTCCACCTTGGTTATTCCTGGAATTCCGCGATTCCAGCCGGGATCTAAAGTCCACCTTGGTTATTCCTGGAATTCCGCGATTCCAGCCGGGATCTAAAGTCCACCTTGGTTATTCCTGGAATTCCGCGATTCCAGCCGGGATCTAAAGTCCACCTTGGTTATTCCTGGAATTCCGCGATTCCAGCCGGGATCTAAGGTCCACCTTGGTTATTCCAATGGATTCCCATGGATTTGGCTCCTTGAGTGCAGAGAAGATTCCATGGAAGCCTGGTTAGATTCCTGCTCTGGGAATTCCAGGATTCATCGGGGTTCCAAGACGATCCTTAATTATTTATGGATTTGGGTCCTCAGATCCCAGGATTGCAGCTGGGATCAAGCAGCCACGTTGGTTATTCCTGGAATCCCAGGATTCCAGCCAGGAATCAAAGATCCACGTTGAGCTTCTCCTGGATTTGTGTCCCAGAATCCCAAGATTCCAGCCGGGATCCAAGATCCACCGCGGTCATTCCAATGGATTCCCCCGGATTTGGCTCCTTGAGTTGGAGAAGGTTCCCTCAAAGCCTGGCTGGATTCCCACTCCAGGAATTCCAGGATTCCAGCCACGATCCAAGATCCACCTCCGTTATTCCTGGACTTGAGTCCTCGAGTGTGGAGAAAATTCCATGAAAAACTGGGTGGAGTCTTGAGCGTGGAGAAGGTTCCGGCAAAGCTTGGCTTGATTCTTTCTCTGAGAATTCCAGGATTCCGCATGGGATCCAAGATCCACCGTGGTCATTCCGATGGATTACCACGGATTTGGCTCTTTGACTTGGAGAAGGTTCCCTCAAAGCCTGGCTGGCTTCCCATTTTGGGAATTCCAGGATTCCACATGGGATCCAAGATCCACCGTGGTCATTCCGATGGATTCCCATGGATTTGGCTCCTTGAGTGTCCAGAAGGTTCCAGCAAAGCTTGGCTGGATTCCCACTCTTAGAATTCCAAGATTCCAGCCACGATCCAAGATCCATCTCAGTCATTCCTGGATTTGGTTCCTCAAATCCCAACATTCCAACTGGGATCCAAGATCCACCTTGGTGATTCCCATGGATTCCCACGGATTCGGCTCCGTGAGCGTGGAGAACGTTCCCTCAAGGCCTGGCTGGATTCCTGCTCCGAGAATTCCACGATTCCAGCTGGGATCATGGATTTGGGATCTCAAATCCCAAAATTCCAACCGGGACCAAAGACCCACCTTGGTTTTTCCTGGAATGACTCCAGGTGGGATCCAAGATCCACTTTGATTATTCCTAGTCCTGGTCCTGATCCTAATCCCAACCATAATCCCAATCCCAATCCCAATCCTTCGCCTTTGGAACTCTCAGCTCCCAGAAAATCCCCCTTCCATTCCAACCCTAAACCCCAGGCATTCCAACCCTAAAACCCAGGATTAAAACCCCAAATCCCAAAATCCAAACCCTAAAACCTGGGATTAGAGCCCCAAATCCCAACATTCCAACCCTAAAACCTGGGATTAAAGCCCCCAAATCCCATAAAAACCCGGGATTAAAGACCCAAAACCCCTGGATTTGGCTCATTCCCGGTTTTCCCCTCCCCATTCCCGATTTTCCTCGGGAATTCACATTCCCAATCCAGATCCTGATCCTCATCCCAATGACAATTTTAGTCTTAATCCCAATCCTAATCCCAATCCAGTCCAATTCCTAGTTCAGAAAGCAATCCTAATCCTAATCCCAGTGCCAATCCTAATCCTGATCCTCATCCCAAGCCCTAAAACCCGGGATTAAAGCCCCCAAGCCCACCTCGAGCAGGAGCGGCCCCAGCGATTCCTTCTCGATGACGCCCTGGCTGCTGGAGGAGATGTCGGATTTTTGCACGTCGTCATCCGTGCTTTTTTCTGGGGAAAAAAACCCAAAAAATGGGAATTTTCAAATTTTCAATCCCAAATCTGTGTGAAAAAACCAAATTCAGGTTTTTTCCGGAGTTTAATTCTGTATTTGTTTGATCTCTGGCGGAATGAATCTGGGATTTCCAAAATTTTTTCTCAATTTTTCCATGAATTTTCCCGTAATTTTTCTGTAAATTTTCCATGATTTTTCCCAAATTTCCATTAATTTTTTTTTCCCAAAATTTTTGGCTATTTTTCCCAGAATTTTACCAAATTTTCCTGAATTTTCCCCCAAATTTTCACCCATTTTCCATTATTTTTCCATGAATTTAAAAAAAAATTCCCCAAATTTTTCCCTGATTTACCCAGAATTTTTCCCAATTTTTCCTGAATTTTTCCCAAATTTTCCCTGAACTTTAGCCAAATATTCCCAAAATTTTCCCCCAATTTTTTCTCCCAAATTTCCCCTGAACTTCAGCCAAATATTCCCAAAATTTTCCCCCAATTTTTTCCCAATTTCTCCAGATTTTTTCCTCTAATTTCCCCAAAATTTTCCCCAAAATTTCCCCATTTTTTCCTCAAATTTTTCTGGATTATACTCTGATTTTCTCCTGATTCTTTACCAAATTTTTCCTGAATTTTCCCCAACTTTTTCCCAAATTTGTCCTTTATTTTTCTCAATTTCTCCCCCATTTTTTCCCAAATTCTTCCTAATTTGTCTCCCATTTTTCCCAAATTTCCCCCCAGTTTTCTCTGATTTTTCCCAAGTTTTCCTTGAATTTTCCCTGATTTTTCCCAGAATTTTTCCCGAATTTCCGCCAATTTTTCCCAATCTTTCCCTGATTTCCCCCAAATTTTCCCTCAATTTTTCCCCCACTCTCCCCAATTTTCCCCCATATTTTCCCCAATTTTTCCCCAATTTTTCCCCTGTATTTTCTCCATTATTTCCCCAATTTCCCCTGAATTTTCTCAAATTTTTCCCAAAATTTTCCCCAAAATTTCCCCCAAATTTCCCATGACTTTTCCCTATACTGCCCTCAAATTTTCTCTGATTATCCCCCAACTTTTTCCTGATTTTTCCCCAAATTTCCCCCAAAATCTCCCCAATTTCTCATGGATTTTCTCTGATTTTTCCCCAATTTTTCCTCAGATTTTCCCCAATTTTTCCCCAAATTTTCCCTGACTTTTCCTCAATTTTTCCCCAAAATCTCCCCAATTTTTCCCTGATTTCCCCTATATTTCCCCTGATTTTTCCCCAATTTCTTCCTGATTTTTCCCAAATTTCCCCCAATTTCTCCCCAATTTTTCCCCCAATCTCCACAATTTTTCCCCAAATTTCCTCCAATTTTTTTCCAATTTCCCCCAAATTTCCCCCATATTTCCCCCCATATTTTCCCCAAATTTTCCCCAATTCTTCCCCAAATTTCCTCCATTTTTTCCAATTTTCCCCGAATTTTCC